AGTTGATCCAATTAGAAGAAACAACCAGCTTGCCTTTCCTCGCTAGGCTTTAAATTAAATCCTGATTAGAGCCCTACGTGGATTGAAATTCCTATTCAAACTCTAGTTCAAAATGCCAATATTTTTGAATTCTAACTAAGGTCCCACTTTTCTCAAAGACTTGCAGATTGAACCGTGTAAACCTAGAGAACTGAAATTGCATGTTCCTTGGGCTTGGGCTTCTATTGTCTTATTGCTTCTCTTGGCTTTTCAACACACGTTCTCAAGTATAGCATGCCGACTTACAATAGAATTGCCCGAGTAGGCACCTTCTCAACACTTGTCGAATAGCAACATGCTGAGAGGTTATTTTTGGCCACACATGCCGAGAGAAAAACCTGAGAATATCTAGTCTCCAGCAGTCTTCAGCATCCAAGCTGTCAAGGCTAAGTTTTTTAGGGGCCTCTCGACACTTTGGGCACCTGGAAGCACAGAATGCTGAGAGGTCCCCAAAAAACTTAGTTGGGGGGCAAAAAGTGCTGAGAGGGTACCTAAAAATCTAGCTGGAGAACAGAAAGTGCCGAGAGCGTACCTAACAAACCTAAAAAACTTAGCCTAGGTACCCGGCCAGCCCAAGAGTCCCTGAGACTAGGTTTTTTAGGTTTTTATGTACCCTCTCGACACTTTCTGCTCTCCAGCTAGGTTTTTTAGGTACCCTTTCAGCACTTTACCGAGGGGTCGTTTCAGTCACATCTCTTTTCTCTTTCTGACTGCCCCTTTGGAAGCTACCCAGTTTAAATAAGCGCAATTAGAATGAACTGGAACGTATATGGAAATTACGCACATAAATTTGAAATAGAACGTAAAAGCCACTGCGCAAGAGCATGAAGCAGTGTTATCTTTGATTTGGATGTCAGTTGCAAGTAGGAATGAGCTCCTTTCCCTCAAGCTAATGATTTGCAGATCCCCTGCCAAACAAAAGAATGAAAACCAAATCAACTTTGAGCTTAACTTCTGCTTGTTTCGAACTTGCATGGAGTTGCTCATCCTGTCAATTCAGTTCAGAGTCTCAAGGCCTCTGTCACCCCCAGTCAGGCCAAAAACCTGCGTACTCCAAGGGAAAGTTGTGTGTGTGTGTATATATATATATGTATATACATATACATATCTATACATATATATATATATATAGATATATTCACCCCCCCCATGATCCACACCTAGAATGTGATATGCATTAATGGTCTGACAAACAATGCAAAGCATCTACTTTACCGTGTTTTATTGCAGATTATTCGCCGGAGCTTGCACAATTGGAAGCAGAAAATGCAGCTAAAAATCCTGGCTGGTGTTTCTAAAACGGGACACCACCCAGTTAGCTTCTCCGAAAGCTCTGCCATGCTGTTTCGAAAACGCACGCAAGCCTTCGCAAACGGCAAATCCTTCTGGCCACCCAGTTGGGGCGCCGGATCATTGGCGAAAGCTGTAGGTCACCGTCTCACGAAACCCAAAGCTCACGCCCATATGTTTGAGGCTGACATTATCTCACACAATCTGCGGCTGCAGATCCTGCGTCACTCTACCATGACAAGCGCCCAATCATCAAAGGAAGTTTAGAAGAAAGCTGATGACTAGAAGAACCTTGTCTGAGCACGCGAAAAGATAGAGAATGCGCAAAAGCGCGGCAGGGTGCAGGAAATCGCTGCTGTGGATGTGCGAAAGGTACCTCTGCCGCGACGCCTGTTCGGGACGGTCTCGGAACGGTCTCGGACGGGGGGCCATTGGCACGGCCGCGCGGAGGTTTCGCAAGGTTACAATTTCGTGGCAGGCGCAGCACTTTGGCGAGCCGAGGTATAGATTTCGTGGCAGGCGCAGCACTTTCGCAAGGCCAAGTATAGATTTCGTGGCAGGCGCGGCATTTCCGCAGCGCTGGCACGGACGCATCGCAAATCCCATTGGCACGGGCGCGCAAGGTGGCGCGTGCAGATTTCGTGGCAGGCGCAGCACTTTCGCAAGGTCAGGTGCAGATTTCGTTGCGGGCGCAACACTTTCGCATGGTCGAGTAAGATTTCGTGGCAGGCGCAGCACTTTCGCAAGGCCAGGTACAGATTTCGTGGCAGGCGCAGCACTTTCGCAAGGTCAAGTATTGCCCGCGCAACCTTCAAAAGATGGAGATTGCGCAAAAGCGTGGCAGGGTGCAGGAAATCGCTGCTGTAGATGTGCGAAAGGTACCAATGCTAGCTAACTCTGGCAGCTTCGGCTCGAAAATCGCAACTTTCAAGTACGAAAGTAGTACGCGAAGTGTACTCTGGTAGTTTGGGTTTGAAAATCGCAATTTTTGAGTACGAAAGTAGTGTACGCGAAGTGTGCTCTGGCAGCTCGGGCTCGAAAATCGCAACTTTTAAGTACGAAAGTCCGCAAAGTGTACTCTGGCAGCTCCGGCTGGAGAATCGCAACTTTTAAGTACGAAAGTAGTACGCGAAACGCACTCTGCCAGCTCGGGCTTGAAAATCGCAACTTTTGCGTACGAAAGTAGTGCGCGTGTACTCTGGTAGCTCGGGGTAGCACGCGAAGTGTACTCTGGCAGCTCCGGCTGGAAAATCGCAACTTTTAAGTACGAAAATAGTACGCGAAATGCACTCTGGCAGCTCCGGCTCGAAAATCGCAATTTTTGAGTACGAAAGTAGCACGCGAAGTGTACTCTGGCTCGAAAATCGCAACTTTTAAGTGCGCACTTCGTGCGCGAAGTGTACTCTGGCAGCTCCGGCTCGAAAATCGCAACTTTTACGTACAAAAGTAGGTTTCGCAAGCATCGAATGTTTGGATGCGCGAAAAGACAGAGAAGGCACAAAAGCGAGCATCAGATGCGAGAAGCTGCCTTCTTTCCGAGCGCGTGCCATTTCAGGCCGCGAGGCGCTGCAGCATTTGCTTGAAAAGAAGTGCGGCTGGGAGGTTGCGGGGCCAAATGTTTTGGACATGGCATGTTCAAGGAGCAAGGCACCCCCGCTGAAACCAGCAGCAATGCAAATGCTATAAGTCCCATTTGTTTCAGAAACTTCCGCCTCCCGGCTTTGCCGGCTATACTGGTATTTAATATTTGGTGAGAAATTTTGTCACGCGGCATCATGTCACCTGCTCCGCTCTACCCTATTTGTGTACAACATCTTGCCTCCTGCGTCAGGCACAAAGTCATGCGCTCTTCAGAACCATGGATGGGGTGTGTGATGCCTTTTTTGCATTTTCGCAGAACCGGCTGGCCGCAAAGCATCCGTGATGAAGTCGATTGGAGGTGGGCTCAACTGTGGAGCAGGTGAGGTGCAAGCCGCTGATCAGCCGCTTTTTTTTTTAACGAGCGCTGCGACAAGTCAAGTTCCGTCGTTTGTTGACAAATGGGGCGGAGCAGGAAGTGGAGTGGAAGGCGGTGGCTCCTAGTCGGGTTGCAAACGCTGAGCCGACGGACCCACAGATTAAGCAAGTGTTGTGTTGCGTCGGCGCGCGGGATCATGTGGAGATGGCTTGCAGCCATCATCGCCGTGTTCAACGGGCGCAAGTTTGTGACTCCTCTTCTTCGGGAAGTGTCTGCAGCGTCGGGTGGACAAAGTCCACAAGATCCAATTGGACAAGTTTGACGGCGCCTTAAAAGGAGGCCCCGGCCGATCGTCCGACGCTCGGCGCGCCTTTTGCTTGACATTCGCTTTGCCGCGCTCGCCCTTTCTGGGACAAAACGCCTTTTCCTTTTTTGAGCAACGAATGCGCAAGTCAGAAGGGCGGGGAATGCCACCCTCGTTATTGAGCCAGGCTCACTGATGGGGTCTGCAGCGGCATGGGAGCCATGGCTGGAAATTCAGGACGAGACAACCCCAAGCATCGACTTGCTAACTTCAGCGAGTCCACACTGCGTGTGACGCGCTCAAAGGCCCGGGCACGAAATAGGTGCTGGGCTGCTTAGGCTTCACCTATCATTGTTTTATGCTTTAGGGGCAACGCTAAACAGTCTTACCGTGGTGTCTCGGGTTCTGCACGAACGCCTGAAACAGTCAAGGTTCGAGGCTGTGCCTCATAGGGCAAGGCGCTTCGGACTGCGGTTGCTTTGCGAGATCGGCAAGATTATCGACTTTGTTGTGCCGCAGGGTGGCGCGCGCGTTTTCCCACCTGCGTTGAAGATTGACGACCCCCCAAGTTTTATCTTTTAGACTCTTCCATCCTGGCCAGGCATCAAGTCCAAAGGAAACTGCAAAACACTTAATGCAGGTGGTGAACATCCACAAAGTGATTGGTGGAAAGCGCGCTCCTGGTCTGGCTCCTTGGATTCTTCAAGATAACAAGTCCTGGGTTGAAGGCCGGAGATTGAAGAGTGAAGATTTTTAGAGCACCTTTCTGAGAGTCACACCCGTACTTGGGGAAACGCGGGCCAGCGCATATTGAAGATAATCCAAGATGTGCTTGCACGTGCTAGCGCATCATAGATGACCCTTTCCCTGAGTATGGATGTGACGATTTTCAGAAGAGGGGCCTGAGAATCTTTCTTCGAGGATGCGTTACCGCGCGCTAGATTGTCTTGAGTGTGGAAGTGCTCTGAGAGTCTTCAATCTTCAATCCAGGATGTGCTAGCGCGTGCGAACGCATCCCAAGTTGCGCTAAGTATGGATGCCAGCATTTCGGTTTCAAGAATCTTGTTCGGACGGTGAACAGGGCATAATGTGACTTTCTGGCCAAGAACCTGACTACTTCAGGGGGGCGCCACATATATTTGTATATATATATATATATAGAGAGAGAGGGACTACTATCATTGACCTGGTTTCAAGGGGGTCGTTTGATCAAGTGAAGGGTACGCAAGTGGTAAATAAGGGTATATGCACCACGGGCAATATTATTTGCCCTCGTTACATGTTGCCGACCCAGTACTGCTTGGAACAATCTCAGCGGGAAGATCTTATGTGGGCAATGCCACCCTGGCATGTCAGGCTGTCTTGCCTTTATGCCGGCGCGACATGGTGTTACTGCAAAGGTGGGGGACAATGCCGGTCGCTCCATCCATCCATCCATCCATCCACCCATCCATCCATCCGTTCATCCCTCCATCCATCCATTTATGCGTCCATCCATCCATCCCCTTGTTTGAATAGATCCAGTCTGGGTTGCTTAAAATAATTTTGTACCAACCGTGGTCCAACCCGTCTTGGCGCTCAGATCTGATGGGTCCGGTTTCAAAGCTTGCCGATGACCGTCCCAGGCGATCTTGGCCCTAGATCGCCACTGCTGGGTGCCTAGATCTCCGGGGTTTCTGGAAAGAAAGGGCCAGGAAACCACTAGTTGGTTCAGTCTGGGGTCTACTTTGTTAATCCTATTGCAGGGCAATTTTCATGTTATCCTTTGGCGCAACGCAAAGCATGTTGGGGGCAACACTCTTTCCCCGGAAGCAACTTGGGCACAAATCCTTTGCCGCTTCGATGTTTGCCCGCTTTGGAGGGAACGCTTTGCATTTGTTCAAGGAAGAACACCGCAGATTGCGGGGCAGAACTTCCGGGCTAGACGAGTTAGCTTCCAGTTGGCGTCGGGCAAAAAATCCTGACGCTTCAAAAAGTAACAACAAGCACAGAGAGCCCCTTCAAGATTACAAGTATATAAAACCAAAAACCACAAAACCAACACAAATGAGAAGATGCATATAAACATATATATATATATACACATACACATGTATATATGAATATGTACATACAGAACGACAGACTGACCAACGCAACGCAAATGAGAATGCCCCTTGACCCGGCTTTCAGAGAGTTGGACTTCAGGGCTCGACGAGTTGCTGCTGGTCTTTGTGCCCGTGCTGCACCAGGCCAACGCGGTTTGTATAAACGGTTGCAGGCCCCCCCCCCCCCCCCGCGCCCCATTTCTCCTTTTTGTTTTTTGGTATGTGCAATTTTCTTGGCGATTTTGTCAATCCTCTTTTCCGAAGAACCTGTCATGTCTCCTGGCTTTGTACACGTTTTCACATGGTTGTTGTGAAAAAAAACAATCCCTCTGGTTGTTGAATGTGTTTCGTGGTTTTTCGGAAAGATGGATCCCTGGTTCGTTGGAACTTCACGCCATTTTCCGAGACTGGACATGGACAAGAGTGCAGCCAACCAAGAGTTCCAAAGTTGGTCCCCTAAAAAGACATATTTTTGTGGGAGGTCTGTGGCAGGGGAGTTGAAGTCGTAGGCCCCAACTCTTGGCTAAAGGTTTGCTAGGGACGCAACCTCAGGCTTTTGCGGGGCTTATTTTTCTTTGCTTACGCGCAGTTTGCCAACAACCCTGTCTTGTGTTGAACTCCGAGGCTGAAGAATGGGGCTCAAGAAGCCTTCTGGGGAAGGTGGTTGCTTCTTTCGTTTTTTGTTTGTTTCTCGAACAATCCTGATTGGGCGTGTCTTGAACATGGATCCTCTCAAAGGTTTACTTTTGTGCGGGGCTGCGCAAAGAACTTGCTTTGATTTTTAAGATGAACTCCTTAATTATGATCGAGCCTCCTCATTTCAGCCTTCCTGTTTTGGTGGGCAGACCATCCTCAAAGGTGTTGTTGGGTATCCTGTGTGCTGGGAGTAGTGCCAGCAGGATAAGCATTTGCTGGGGCTCTTTGGGTGGTCGGAAGCACACATGTCGCTTTCCAGCGAGTTCTGTAACAACGGATGTCCAACCTTCCACAGCCACGGTTAGTCAGTTAAACAGTCGTTGGTGGAGGGACCGTGCTGGCACCACAGGTGCCCTTTTCTAGGGATGAAATATGGAAAGTCCAAGTGGACTTCCTAGCTTTAACTGCTAAACGGCTTGTTCACACTTGCCCCCTTGGGGTGGTTTCAGGGTGCCAAGGGGCCATGAACAAGTCACCTTCGCCAGCAACTCAAGAGCATAGAACTCCCAGTAAAGCAGTCGGTTTTTTGCCGGGGTTTCTACCGGAGCCTTGGGTGCTGTTTGGCCCAGGCTCACTCACCCCGATTTTTTGTTGTCCGTCCCGGCAAAGTACTGCACTTTCTACCAAGAACATGGCGCTCGGAGCTTCAAGGGGCCCTCTGTCAGGTGCCGTGGCAACGTGGGAGGGAGGGTAAATTCCCTGTTCTTTTCCGGAAAAGAATCACTCCGGGAGGTGGCGGACACCAACTATGGGGCAGCTGTGCTGATCTGTTGCTTCGAGCGGCTCGCCAAGTTGGAGCGGGATCTACCGCCTCTGCGCGGGACCTGAGCCGGTGGGTGGGTGGGCTAGTGGGGTTCCAAGGGCTGGTGGCAACCAGACTACGGGTTTCTAAGAGTTCTAATGTGTCTGACTTGGTTCGGGGAAACCCTTAGTTGAACTCAAGCCAAACCTTCAACTCGGAACCCAAGGCGCTTCATTCCATGAAGCCCGGCCTCACCAAGGCTCCGGTGCTTCGATCCGAGGCGAGGGCAGTGGGCGCTGATCTCCGAGATGGCGCGGCAGGCGGTGAGTCTGGCCCGGGAGCCCGAGAGTTTCGCGTTGCCAAGACCAGGGGAGGCGAGGGCGGCCATGAAAACACGGCGAGGCACCAAAAGGAAACTGGAAGATCAGAACCAGTCTCTCACAACGAAAAAAGCAGCGCAGGTTTCTTGAAAACAACAACACGTGTGGCTTTCTTGAAACAAAACACATGTTGCTGTGGTGTCGGGTGCTACCCACGGAAAGAGAGGGCACACTCATCTACGGCTATGAGATTCACCTCGGGACATTCCCACGTGAATCATGTTCGCCATGCGGACCTCAATATTAGAAGCTTCCGTTTTGAATGGGGACATCGCAACGTGGAAACCCTTCGAATACAATCCGCCACATTCTGCAGTTCAGGGTGCGAGGGATTCCAAGTTACATGCCCAAGCTTCGCTGCTTTTTGATGTGTGTTTCTGTCTTTAATTGGAGAGGAGGGAAGAGGGATGGTGTGTGTGTGTGTGTGTGTTTTTATTGTATTACTTTTGCCTAAACTATAGCGAGCTGAGTCTTTTCAAAGCTGCTTGTTCCGAGCTGACCGATCAGTGGTAAGAACGAGCAGATTCCATGAGCCGCAGTTTTGAAACGTTTTGCGTCCAGTGGGTAGAACAAAGGATCAAACCAGCCCATGTGGCCGTAGCAGAACATATATAAGTGTCCTTTTTCCCAACTGGTTGAAAACAATCTTTAAGTGGATTCCACTGGTTTCATTTGGTTCGGGTGTCCTTGGTAACTCAGCTCGGATACAAATCATTTACCATCCAGGAACCAAGCCTTCGGGTTTCGCCTCGGGGAGGGATCGGCAGATGGAATCCGGGAACCCATAGCAGCTGATGATATCACCGCAAAATGATAGGTTACCACTAAAATCCCACGCACCAAAATTCCACGCCGGTGAACGGTGAACCTACAAGACGACAAACCACCCCAAGTCGATACTTTTTTTTTGGTTGTTGTTGTTGTTGTTGTTGTTGTTGTTGTTGTTGTTGTTGTTGTTGTTGTTGTTGTTGTTGTTGTTGTTGTTGTTGTTGTTGTTGTTGTTGTTGTTGTTGTTGTTGTTGTTGTTGTTGTTGTTGTCGTTGGCAAGCCTATCGTTGAATCGGTTGACCGGGGTTGGTGTCGCGAAGGCTTCGTTCAAAAGCCTCGAGTTCGGGGGTCTTTTTGAGTTGCTAGGGTGGACCCCTTCCACCCCCTTCCACGCGCAAAACGCCACTCCTGACACTGCGTCCATTAAAGAAACATCCGGTAAGTTTTTGGTTCAAATGGCGACCGCGGTCCAAAAGTAGGTGTCAGGACCCTGCAGAGAATGCTGACTCGAAGGGACCATCCCAGCAGCAGTCAAGGTGCAAAGCTTTTATACCAACCCCCCATCCCCTTCCTTGCTACAAAACACTCGCCCGGCGCGCTTGCGGGGCGCGGCGCGCTTGCGCCCGCCCGCTTGCGGCATCTGAGGCGGCCGGGCCATACGCGCACCGCGTGGTGCAACAACTATTGCAGCTCTGGGGCTTCCAAAAGCCCGGGACCCCGGCAGAGTTTTGGCGTCGCAGAGTTTGGGGTTCGGCTGGCTCTCTCTCTCTCTCTCTCTCGCTCTCTCTCTCTCTCTCTCTCTCTCTCTCTCTCTCTCTCTCTCTCTCTCTCTCTCTCTCTCTCTCTCTCTCTCTCTCTCTCTCTCTCTCTCTCTCTCTCTCTCTCTCTCTGGTTCCCGGTTTGCCGGTTTGCGGGGTTCCGGTGTTCCGTGTTCCGTGGGCTGTTGGGAATACCTGGGCTGACTTGAGAAGAATACTTGTTTAAAGGGGGGGTCGGAGCCAATGTGCCCGAGTTTGGGTGACTCAATGGGTTCGAAGAACACAGTTTGAAAATTGGTCCCGGACCCTTTGGACAGAATCCGGGGATTCATGCCCACCACAGAGGTGGGCTGTCAATTTCTTTGAGGCCATTTGAGTGGTACTCTTGCGTCTGAGGGCCTGGAAGACCAATTTTCCTCACGGACCCTCTGGTGATTTCCAGGTAAGTGGACAAAAGCAACCTGGGGTGACTTGTTGAATGGGTTTCAACAAATGGGTTCCTTTTGGATGCGAAAAGCACATTGTCTTTCGGTGCAAGCTGAAATCACAAGGCCAACCATGTGTGTGTGTGTGTGTGTGTGGGTGGGTGCGTGCGTGCGTGCGTGCGTGCGTGCGTGCGTGTGTGTGTGGGTGTGGGTGTGTGTGTGTGTGTGGCGTGTGAGACCTCCTCGCGCACGGAAGCATGGCGTCATGCCAATCGATGTATAAACGATTTCTGCAGGGGAGTGCGGCGTGACTGAGGGACCGCACTCAATGAAGCTACCTCAGTCATCTGATACCGGATCAGATCAATCCTGCGTAGCTGCTATACGCATGCCTGACCTCGACCTGAGTTTCATTATTGAACCTTTTGCTAACCCGTGTACAAAAAGCAGAAAACAAATAAAACACAACCCAAACACACTGGGCGCTCCAGAGCGCGCCTGGTTTTTGCTGTCGCAGGTGCCGAGCTATCGTCCAGGTGCGAAAAACCAGCTGTTCGGGGGCGGGGGGGGGGAGGGCTCGGGTTTGGGTTTCGGGTTTCGGTTGGTACGCCATGTCACTTTTTTCGAAGAGAGGCAGGGCGCGCAAATGGGCGTGTGGAGGTTCCTTTTGGTGGTCCCTTTTTGAAACCTACCGAAACGATGTCAGTTCAATAGGAAGACCCCCCGAACACTGGGGAGCGTCTTGAGGTGAGGCTCAAGAAATCCAGGGGCACGTGTGCGGGGCACCATGAAAAGGGGTACATGATGTCCGGTCGATCATTCGGGCTCCTTGAATGTTGCTCCCGGAGTCAAAGCGGTGGGTGTTGTCCTGAAATAATTCAGGATGCCTTTTATGTGACACCTCTTTGTGTTTTGGGTGGATTTGCGAGATCGGGGCTGTGCCCAATTGGGGAATCATATTCCCCTTTTCGGAGGTATGACACACACATCAGCACCGGATTGCTTGAAACTGGAATTGGTGGAGGGTGCGTGCTACCGACGCCACGATTCCACGGTTCCGAGTTCGGCTGGGTTTTCTGAGGCCTTTAGCCTTTGCTTTTTCAGGCTTGCCTCCGTTTCCCAGGCCTTTCCTGTTCCTTATGGACGAAATCCTGCACTTTGAAACCATGGTTGGGGCCGTGGTTTGGTGTTTGCGTGGGTTTCGCGGCCTGTCCACAGGTAGTGCTTCATGGGGCTTTCCATTTTTGCCTCCGGGTTTTCGCGCGTGCACGCATCTCGACGCGCGAGGCCTTGAAACCGCAGCTCTGCGCTCTCAGCTGCGAGCAGCACGGCGCGCACGTGGCCAGGGGCCCTAGAGAGAGAGAGAGAGAGATAGAGAGAGAGAGAGAGAGAGCGAGACGATGGGAGAGAGACGACGGCTGACATTTTTTGTGGCCAAAATGGAACGTGAACCCCAAACGCTTCCTTTTTTGTGGGTTCACGCTTTCTTGGTTCCTTAGCTGCCAATGAAAACTCGCACAACCTCCCGTGCCACTAACGTTGCTGAAACCATTGGGAAACACCTGGACCTGATTTTTCAAGGCAAATGTCTCCTTTTCTTGTCCCGGGTTGAAGTTCCTCCGTTTGGGACGCTCACCCAATGGTCTAAAGTTGGCTCGGAAAGGGATGAATGCTTAACAGTCGGGGAAGGTCTTCCGAACAGCGCGTGCGCACATCCTGCAATCGAACAGTGAAATCACCAAGTTCATTGCTGGCTCAAGTCTTGGCACTCTGGCCCCCTCCTTCTAGAGAAGCTCCAAGTAGCTTAACTTGTCGATTGGAGCAGCCGCCAGTGCACCTGCACCGGCACCGGGCAGTGGCGGACCTCGCATCACGCGAAAACACAGGAAGGCTTGTCCTCGCGGTCACGAAAGCCCAATGCGATGTGATGTGTTTGGTTCATTTGGGTCAAAACTTTTTTGTTGGGATGAGCGATGAGACAAAGCTATTTGGTTGGGTAGGGTGTTTGAAAGAAATCTCGCGCCATCGAAAGTTGGGCATGGCATGCCATTCACGGGACCGTCTGTTCATGCTCTGCATGTGGATGTCGCGCAGAACGGGTTCCCTTACGCTGGAACTATCACGTTGCCCAGTATGGATGCGGAGCGGAGCGGAGCAGGGCCGGTATTTCAGTGGGGGAGTGACCTAGAAAGTTGGCATCCAACAGATGATGTGGGGAGGAAACAAATATGGATGACCAACAATCCCGGTTTGCACATGCAACCATGGCGACAGGGGCGACAAAGGTTCTACGTGCTGAAGAGAGTTGGGAATTGACACCAACTGAGCCGTCGAAACCGTGTAAGTGAATTGAAGGTTAGCAAGTCATCGCAGGCATCACTTGGCGCGGCCCCAGGTCTTGGCTTTCTGCAAAGGAAAGCCCTACGCTTGAGCAAGCTGTGCAGGTGCTGATGATGTTACGGGAGGCTCCCCGCGAGGCGGGACCTGGTCGGTTTGGGTGAAACTAGCGATGAATCAGCTCTTTGAAAGAGGGGAAAGGAAAAGGGTGTGTGTCTTGTTTTAGGGGACCCCCCAAATGGTGGTTTTCCTTTGGAGTTTACTTTTACACCAACCCAAAAGGGGCACCCTCAAAAAGGACCGCCCCAACTCAATCTCCACCACCTCACCTCAACCATTTCCACCGTGGGGGTGGGTGGTGGTGGGTGGGTGGTGGGGGTGGGTTGGTGGGGGTGGGTCCACCCAAGTGGATCCGACTTCCCTTTGAGCGGGGGCCCGCAACTCCACTCGTCATGTCGATTCCGGTCTTGCTACAAGGCCATAGGGGATGTGGAACCGGGGATCCTTTCAAGGAGAAACCAAGTAAAGTCTTGAGCTGGTTTTGACACATACTCCATACACCAAATAAACCAACCTGTTAAGGATGTATTGAGCAAAACACGTGCTATCTTCGTTTTTGGTACCATACCATACCCATCTTTTCGAGTTAAAGCTTGGTGTCATGTGCCAACAAAAGGGGGGGTCATAGGTGCAGGAGGGCCTCGCTGGCGAGCTGACCTCGCCGGAGAGCCTGCAGAAGCTTATGTCCAAGGCCGGAGGTTCCGGCAGAGACCGGCGCCTCGAGCCTGGAGCTTGAGGCTGCAGAAATAGGACTGAAAACATAATGTTGGCCCAGGATTTTCATAAACCCGTCCCTCCAAAAGTGGTGTTAATCCCCACTAAGAGAGGACACCCCCCCATTAAT